TGGTTCAATACATCATTCAAGTTGATTCCGAATATTTTGACTTGCGATTGTAGCTGCTTTGAAATTTCACCAGGCAACCAGTTATAAAAGCTCGTTGCAATAATTCTTTGTTTTCAACTTTAGCCAACTGCATAAGTTGACGCAAACTGGCCATATATATATCAACGGATTCGCCTTCGTTCCATCTGCGATCCCTGAACAGATCGTAGGCTTCAAAAAGATCAACCGCAAATGCATCCAACAAAGCTTTTTCGATATCCACGGCGGAGGCTTTCTCGTTTTCGCTAAGTTGTTCATACAAAGCAAATGCATCTCCTTCCAGAAACAACGGAATTATTAACGACAGATCGCCCATCTTTTGAAGCTCTCCGACCAGCTTGACTTTTTTCAGCCACACAACAACATCGCCAGACCCATCAAATTTTCCGATCATTTTTGCCATGGATGACATATTGCCGAAATAGCTTGTAAAACGACAACTATCTTTACTTTTTATGAACTCTATGTTTTTCATACTATTTACAATTTTTATACATTTCGTCAACAACAAAAGCTCCCTTGGGATAATTATGTACAAACAAAAAGTAAATAAGAAATTACGACATATTTACACTAAGGATTTGTAAACGCTATTAAATTATAATAGCGTTTACAAATTAGCTTTTAACAAATATTTTATGCATCTGAGTATTATTAAAACAAAGAATTATTTCTAACTAAGAATTAACATATTTAAAAAAGTTAAACATTTTATTAAAATGGTCAACTTAAAATAAATATAAAATCGATAAAAATAACCTGTATAAATCAAATTTACCCTATGATTTTTGTATATTATAAACAACTTGATATAAAATCTAAATTTTTTAAATTATTTGCAATAAAAATAGGTTATAAAATATTGCTTTATCAAAATATTTTTTAAACCATATGCATGCATTCTATTAGGTTTTCCTTGCCTTTCCATTACGGCAAATTATTTTTGTAATGGCTAGTTATTGAGACAATAATTTTCAATGTGCCACTTCCTCAACGTTGTTAAAGCAATGTTTTATTAACGTTGGCAAAGTAACACTTTTTCAACGTTTTATAATTACCACATTTTCAACTTTGGTATATTTAACGTTGAATAAGTGTTGTTTTAAAAATAGCTTAAATACGTTAAAAAAGCAGCTAATGTCTAACGTTGATAAACCATAAACTTTGCGACGTTTTTACAGTGATTATTTGGGTAATCGGTAAAATGCGAACTGCGAACCGCGAACTGCGAACCGGTAAAATGCGAACTTTTTTGCGAACCAAAACATTACATTTTAATGACCGCAATATAATATATTAAAGTTATATAAAAAGTTTGCTATTCAATTCTTTCTTTTATTAAATAATATAATGGAATTAGATTTATTTAAATCTTTACCCGCTGAATTCGCTGTTCGGTACAAACCAAAAGCTGGTACTAATTACATTTTCTCGTGGACTAATGACAAGGATAAAGGTAAGATATGTGAATATATATATATATATATATATATATATATATATATATATATATATATATATATATATATATATATATATATATATATATATATATATATATATATATATATATATAATTTATACAATTTATTCACATTTTAAAAGAATTAAGGATCGTTTGAAGATTAAATTGTTTTTAAATTAAAAACCAAGGAAAATTATTCACAATAACATAAAATATTATTTAGAAAATTGGCGTGCAGATGGTTACAGGTGGAGGCAAGGGGGTTCAAAGACAATTAATGGAATTAAAAGGAAGTATTTTAGAATTCTTGTTGCACAAGACACAGTAAGTGATGTGTTTGTACGTAGAGCACACTATCATGCTGATTATGCTAATTCAGTTCTGATATCATACATAGGTGATAAAGCTAAGGCTGTGCAGTTTCCTCATGGAAATGCTACTAGATGTAATAGAGATTTTATCAGGACACAGCCAGGTGTTATAAACCAAATTAAGGAAAGTACAGGTTCTGTCCAAAAAGTATACAAAGACATAATATTATCAAATACAGCTGATATAAATATAACAGCAGTTCCACGTAACATGGAACAAGTCAGTAATACTTTAAAATCAACACGCAATCAGCAGCGTTTATCTAGAGATAGTTTATACAATCTTCATGAATTAGCGTATGATACAAATTTTATTCATAATATAATAACATTTCCTGATTTGGTGGTAGTTATGTACTCAGATGAAACACTGCAAATTTTTCAGCAAGTACTGAAATTGTCTCAACTACCTCAGCAACTATCATATGATACAACTTTTTCTTTAGGCGACTTCTATCTTTCTGTTTTGCTATTTAGAGAAACTGAGTTTGACCCAAGTCCAATCATTCCACTAGCTTTTATGATACATGAGCGAAAAACACTAATGCCCCATTCCATATTTTGGCAACATATGAAATTAGTATGCCCAGAACTTGCTTTAAAGAATGTTTTTATTGTCACAGATCAAGAACGAGCTATAACAGAGGCCATCAAAGAAAGTTTTCCATCAGTTTCACATTTTCTTTATTGGAACCATGTTTTGCAGGACAGTAAGCGATGGTTACAATTGCATGGAGTGAAGACAAAAGATGAATTAGCATATTACACTGAATGTATTCAATCTCTTCTTCGTTCTGATTCTGAATCTTCATATAAAGATAAACTAATAACAATGTTATCAGCATGGAGTCAGCCTTTTTCTGAGTACTATATCAAAACAATTCATAGTGTAGTAGACAAACTTGGATCTTAGAGAATTAAACAGTTTAACTTTCATGAAATTACAACAAATCAATCAGAAGCATTTAATACTGTAATTAAGCGACTACAGGGCTGGAAAGAGGCTACTGTAGATTCAATGGCTTTAAGCTTATATAGACTTATACAATATAGTATGGTGGAGATTTATCGTGCTCGAAAAGGAACTGGCCAATATGAATTAAGAGCTGAATTGAAAGGTACTTATGAAGAATGTGATCTTCATATTTCAGATACAACAGCACCAGAACAAATTGTTCAACGTATTAAAGAAACCATCAACAATCAATTTATGCATAATACATCTAAAAGTTTAGAGTTAGTACAAGATACAACTATGATAACTTCTGTTGAAAGGGCCAATGAAATCATTAGAAATTCTCATATTGCTCTTGACCCCAAACTTGCAACCTTTATTGTAAAAGGATCTATAGAACCACGTGTAGTAAAGCTGTTTCCAAAAGAGACATGTTCATGTCCAGCTGAAAGTAGATGTTATCATATATTGGCAGCACGCCAGGCTATTGGTCTATCTGTTACAAACAACAACAAAAAACAGGTTAATCTAACACAACTTCGTCGAAATACAAGAAAAAAATCTGACAAAACAGGAGGAAGAAAAAGACCAAGAACACTTGATATTGAAGTTATTCCAGCAGGAGATGCTAATCCAGACGAAATAAAAGATTTGATAGCTAAAGGTAATGCCTTAAAAAAAACATGATATATATATATATATATATATATATATATATATATATATATATATATATATATATATATATATATATATATATATATATATATATATATATATATATATATATATATATATATATATATATATATATACACACACATATATAGATAGATCATGTTGATAACAACTTTAAACAAAAGAAAAGTAAACAAAAACTATAAATAAAGTTTTTACATAGTTTATATAAATACATATATATAATATAATTAATAAAGTACGTATAATATATAAAATATATTTTTAACTAATTATATTTACTTATCAAAACAGAGTGTAGAATATATATTTATAGTAACAAAAGGTGTACCTTGAATGTTGTTTTTTTTAATATCATATCCCTTTTTTATGAATCTTCGTTATAATATATGAATCTGTAGAAGAAGTATAAACAAAGAACTATTTCTTCATTATACATTTTTTACAGATTTTTCTTACTATTCACTTTTTCATCTTAAGTATCTGTTTTTTTCGCAGTTTTCTTTTTTCATACTAGTTTTACTCAATTTGTTTTTTTAAATAAATGCCTTTGCGTGTAGTCCTTAAAATATTTTGGAAAATAAACAATTTAACGGCAAACGGAAAATAAAGTATTACATCATTAACAACCAATAAAACCATGGTTCGCAAAAAAGTTCGCATTTTACCAGTTCGCAGTTCGCGGTTCGCAGTTCGCATTTTACCGACTACCGATTATTTGCGTACTTTTATTCAACGTTGAATAAACGCGATTTTTTGAGAATATAAGATACGTTTAAATTTATACGCTTATTCAACGTTGAAAATGTAACGTTTAAAAAGCGGTTTGTTTTTAACGTTGATAAAGCATACACTGTAAAATAAATCGGTGCGGCAAAAAACCAAAATCGGTTTTTCAGGCTAAAGCCAGATTGAAACTTTTTTCGGATTTTTGAAAAACCGAAAAAAATTGGTTTTTCAAAAATCCCTTATATTGCGTTTTTCAAAAAACTCAAATCGGTTTTTTGAAAAACCAAAATTTTAAATTTTGCCGTGGAAAAAGCACTGGGGTGTTTTTAGAGAACCGTACCGTCACCCTCCACCTTTTTTTCTTTCAGAAATTGGCTATTTTTAAGAAATCGAGGGTTTTTTCACAAAATCAAGTAGTGCACTACCCGCCCCCCCTGGATTCAAACGAATAATTAACTAATTAGCAATAACCACAATTTAAAATTGTATGTTACCATATACCCCATTTGTAGAGTGTTAAGAAAAACAAAATCTTAACACAGATAACTTTTTTAAATATCATATCAATTTATATCATATGATTTTTGATATTTGTTTTGCTGTTTTACAAAGTTTAACTTTATCCGATATTATGTGGTGTTCAATAAAATTAAGTGTTTTTACCAACGGCTTAGGATAGGCAATATCAAATAAAAAATATGCCGCCATAACCATAGTGACACCACATGAAAAATCTGGAATGTCTGTTGCAACAAGTAATTTATCGACAAATAAATCAATAGAAATTGGTCTAAGAACCGGGCCTTTAATTCGGAGAATCGGAGTGAGACAAACCGGATCCTAAAACAAAATTAAACATCAAGTTACTATTAAAGTATGCATAACCAAAAATTTGCATTAGCACTGGATTACAATAAAACTCTTACCGTGTCAAAAACATATAGTAAACTCTTCTCCTCTGTGAACAAATGAACTAGCATCGCAGCTCTTAATCTATATATATATATATATATACATAGTAGAAAATCACTTAGCAAAATTTTTTCTCAAAATTTCTGATGAGTCTTTATTGATGAAACACAGTGTTAAATGAGAAAAAATTTTGCTAAGTGATTTTCTACTAATTTGTAATTGCTCTGTTCTTTTAAGAACATTGAGCACTTTTTTTGTAGAATACATTTTAAATTCTTTAAATATATATATATATATATATATATATATATATATATATATATATATATATATATATATATATATATATATATATATATATATATATATATATATATATATATATATATATATATATATATATATATATATATATATATATATATATATATATATATATATATATATATATATATATATATATATATATATATATATATATGTATATATATAAATATGGATTTTCTTATAACGCATATTACTTACTCTCGTCTGATTCTTCATTGATATCAATTAAAAGAGACCTGCATTTAGTCTTCAGACTCATTTTTAATTCCACTAAAGTTTGGAAGCCTTCACACATTTTGTTTAAAAGTCGTAACAAATTTCTATCAATATCTGTATTAGTCAAAGCATTTGAAGCTTCTAGCAACTAAATTTAAATGTAGACAAATTAGATTTATAAAAAACAATTTGCTTGTTTGTTTGCATAACAATATTATTAGCTTACAACTTTCTCAAACTTGAGACAGGAAAATTTATCTAAAACATCCTTCACAGTGCTGTTTTGGCAATGTTTCTTGAGAGTGCCAATGATCAAACGGATTTGACTTTTCAGGAAAAGGACATCAGGACGCAGCTTATTGCACTCTTCAGATAGTAATGCCAAAAGATCATCAGTGACATCGTGTTCTTCCTGTAAACAATAAAATTTTTCTAAAATATTTATCTGAAACATGCAACTTGTGAAATTTATTAATGCACCTAACATTGTATTTAAAATGATTTTAGAAACTTATTTTATATAAACTATTTTTATAATAGTTTATAATTATTTCATGGACATGCATGCTTCATGGACATGCATGCAAATTAAAAAATTGAATTATTAATGAGGGATAAAGTTCAGAAAAAAGAGAGTAATATTTTTTTCTGAAATGAATTAAACAAATTTCTACAGTCAACAGTCCTTTTTTTCAAATACCTCTCTCTTTCACTCTATGACAAATATGAATATATATATAAAACTATGAATTAATTGTTAGTGTAATCTACTTTATTCAACTTTTTAAATAAAAAAATTTATACTTGCGCAATCGAGTGGCAGAGCCTCTTAGCAGGCAATATCTGAGTCATTGACTCATTTAGAATAATTGATTTTCTTTTACGCCCTCCATTGGCACGCCCATACTTTTTCTTATATTCTATGACTGTGACATCATTAACGAGAGGTCGTCTAACTCGTTTAAGTTTTTCTTTAAAAGCATGAACCAGAAACTCCTACAAAAAAATTAAGCTCTACATCTTAAGCTCTCTCACTCTCCCTCTCTCTCATATATATATATATATATATATATATATATATATATATATATATATATATATATATATATATATATATATATATATATATATATATATATATATATATATATATATATATTGGGTTTATATATACACACACATTTTGAGTGTATATTTATATACACACATTTTGGGTGTATTTATATACACCCATAAACATTTTGTTTGCTAATTGTAATTAACTAAGAACAATAAAATATTTGTTATTGACACCATTTTGAAATTAAAGTATAAACAAAAATTTTGAGCTTCCTGAGCCATTTCCATGAGTTGGCTTGACATTTGGAAGACGTAGAACCACTTCATGTGCTAATTCATACAATTGTGAACTACTTGGATACCTAAAATAATTATATTTAGTAGAAATTTATATTATTTTTTTATTTATTTAAAAAATAATCTTATTAATAAATATTATATTTTAAATTATTCTTATATCATTTTACTTTTTTACATATCCTTTTATATATGGGATATGGGATATTTTTGTTTGTGTATTTTTATAAATAAAGTTTAATAAAAAACTTCTCTGCTGCTAAATTTCTTTAAATAAAAAAATCTAGTAACAAAATAAAAGATATGAATATCCTTCCACAAACCATACTAAATTCAAACAAACTTTTACATACAGACCATATCTGGATTTTATAACATCAAACAGTACATCCAAAAAGGAGGTCTTCAATTTTGATTTTCCAGGAACATCGAAGTTTAATGCTTTGCTGGAAATTGCATTCATCAGAAAATTTGGCAATATGAGTTCTTTGCCACTATAATGTACAATTATTTATCACACTCCTAATTTATTAGACACTCTAATAAACAGAAAAGCCTAAAAAAGTGTCTAATAAACAGCAGGGGCGTGCTAGCTCCAAAAAGCCCATGCTAGATTTTTCTAAAAAGGCTCATATGTGAGATTTCTCCAATTATGCTTTATGAAATTTTTAAAAAAAGGCCTATCGCTATTTTAAATAAATAGCGATAGGTCCAAGCAGGATTCCCGCATAGCCTATGGGGCCAGCACGTCACTTATAAACAGGGGGTTATAATATCCATTAATAAACAGGGTTATTAGACAATAAGAGTTACTGCTTAGAGATATTTACTATAATATATACTTATTTTGATATCTTACTATGATCCTATAAAATCCTTACCTTGAAGTTAAATTTAAAATTGGAAGGTTAAAATCAACTACAGATTGCGAGGACTGACTCAAAATTAGCGATCCAGAACAAATAACAAATGTTTTTTTAAAATTCCTTTATTTTATTTTATAATTACTAGTGAGTAATTATAAAGGTGTCATTTCACCTTACTTCAACTCAAGGAATTTTAAAGTGAGTAAGTTTCAATATATCTAACAATATATACATATACAAATCTTGTTTGTATTAATACAAACAATTTCCAAGTGTTACAACACTTGACTTTTCAAAGCAACTAGGCATCCCACTGATGTTATATACCCATCAAGTGGTTCAGGAGAAGCTTCACTTCCAACAGGTTGAATGCATAATGTGGAGGATGCAGTTAAGCAATATGAATGACAATAGTGTAAAAACTGTGAGCAGGTGCAAATATTTCCAACAAAATACCACCTTTCAGAGTGTTTAAGCAGATAAGATAAAAAATAGGATAAAAAAAAGCATAAAAAAATAGGAATTCCATCATCTTGAACCGATAAAACAAGATAGTCCTTAACATAATAAGTTACATGATTAATAGATACTCTTGTAGCTTTAAATATTTCACTAATTTATATCCAAAATAATCAAATAGTTTATCTTGAATATTTTTTGGAAGACACAAAGTTGATATTGTAACTCCATTCTTCTCATCTTCATTGTTTTGCAGACAATCATAAGAGTTTAATTCTGCACATTGTCTCATTTGATGTCGCTTTGATAATGTAAAAGTAATATTTTTGAAGTTGGAGATAATGTGGCACAACCTTTTAAAATAATTGTGCTTAGATTCAAACCTCATACACCATAAATGTCTTAAAGGGCCAAATAAACACAGCATTCTTGGGTAATGTATAAGATAATGCATTTTCGGAGTCATTTTGTCAGGATATTCAATACTAAACATATACAAGAAATTGCCAATGAGATATGTTAAATATGTAATTTGATCACATTTAATTGTAAAAAAAAATAAAATGTCACATATTTGACGAAACAGCAAAAGACTTCCCAATACGATTGGAAATTATCACCATGGATAGACACCAATTTTCTGAAGCTTTTCCAGAGAGATGACCATTAGCAGAAATCGAATGGTTAAATATTTCACATGGGACATTTCTTGAATCATGAAATCCATATGGAAATGTTTTTATTTCATAGTTTAACTGGATTAAATTTATGATCTTATTTTCAATCATTTTTTGGATTGTCAATTTCAGAAGTAGCGGAACTATCCCCTCTAGAATGTCATGATGTAAGTCTGGTGGAAAGGATTCAATAACATTAAAGTAAGGCAATCTGTCTAAACTGCATGATTTATTTATTCCAAATATTGCTTTATTTGCAGAATAACTTTTAACAGCTTGCAGATGAGTGTTATAATTAGAAATTGTTCTTAACGAGCAAGAATCTTCTGTGTATCTCAAAGATATGGTTTTATGATCAACTAAGCAAAATCGACAAATTCTACCAGAACTGAAACAGCATCTAAAACCAGCAAGTAAATGGGCCCCTAAATTGTCTGCAGATACAGTGTACGCTTTAAAACGTTTTTAAAGTGGCTTTTTGAGTAAGTTGATTCCACGTTGAATAAACGTTTTATTTTGAGAGGCTAAATTACGTTACAACTTCGACGCTTATTCAACGTATCAATTTTCCGCAATTTAGTATACAAAAACAGACATTGATTCAACGTTGAAAGCACGTTGTTTTTGTGACTGTAACGCTTTTTCTACGCTGCGACTGGTTTTCAACGTTGATTCAACGCTGACATGTTTGCTGGGTATATATATATACATATATATATATATATATATATATATATATATATATATATATATATATATATATATATATATATATATATATATATATATATATATATATAAATATATATATATGTATATATATATATATATATATATATATATATATATATATATATATATATATATATATATATATATATATATATATATATATATATATATATATATATATATACATATGTATATATATAGTAATAGTAGTAGTAGTAGTTGTAGTAGTAGTAGTAGTAGTAGTAGTAGTAGTAGCAGTAGTAGTAGTAGTAGTAGTAGTAGTAGTAGTAGTAGTATTTTCGACTGCAGCGTTGACTATAAAGGAGGCTTTAAACCCCGTTTTGGGATTATAACAGCCTTTAGATGAATATCTAGTTTGTTTACCACTTTGTCCAGTTGTACGTTCCATGGCTGGGCTAATCAGTAGTTAAAAAAGTTGTGTTGTTGTTTTTAGCATCTCAGTATTTCTCATCAGTCATTGTAGACAGTGTGGTCTCCTCTCGGTGTATTACAAATTGATGAGACGTATCAATAATTATATACATCAGTTGTTCACTTTTCTTTGTATGACAAGTATTTAAGTTCACTTTTGTTGTCCTTCTTTTAGGATTTCTAAAGTACAAAACCGTGTTGTTCTTTTGCCATGAATTATTGTTTCTCAAAAACTCCATTTTAATATTCACAATAAGTTTCTTTATCATAATATTCACAATAAGTTTCTTCATCATAATATTCACAATAAGTTTCTTCATCATAAAATTCACAATAAGTTTCTTCATTAGTGTCTTAAGAAAAGTAAAATAGGTCTGTAATTGAAAAAAATCTTGCACTCGAGCTTACTTTTTTAAAGAGCGGAGTTACGTTTGCTTCTAAGCATTTGTTCGGTACATTGCCGAACAATAATTACACTTATATAAAACACAATTGAACATCAAACATAGATTTATTTTTAAACCAATAAATAATAATAAACGACTCACTTCCCAGTGGACACAAACGTAAAAATGACGTATTTTAAACATTTTATACACGTTTTAGGCGTCTTTTGAACGTTTTAGACGTCTTTTGGACGTTCAAAAGACGTCTTTTTTTGGTCCAGTGCCCACTAGGTTATATTCGAAATCATCGTCAGCTTCATTAAATTTAAAAAGTCTGTTGAAATGCGATTTTAGTTAATTTTAATACATCATCAAAAAACTCATGTTTTATCACTCAATATAATAGCTTAAATAAAAAAATGGTAATTCTAAAACAAAATATAAAAGTTCACAAAAAATACTATTATATTATATATTAAATGCATACATAACAGCTCATAAATTGTGTGACGTAATTAATGGGCAACTACTTAACTGTTTTTTTTTGTTTATTTTATAGGTCTTTTATTTATAAAATCAATTCATGAAATTATTTTTCTATTTTGTAAGGAATATACACGCTTAAAAATAGTGTTGAGCCCTAGGCTACATTATGTCGCGTAGAGTATAACAATAAGTGTCGACGCCGGCTACACCAACACTATGTGGCTTTAAAAGCCACACTCAGTGTTGCATTCGTAAGGCTACATAAAATGTAGACTTGAAACCCACACTTTGTGGCCTTTAATGCGACACTTTTGCAGAAATTTTTTCGACATAATTGTTGCATTAATCAATGGCTGTATATATACGCTCTTTTTGCGCGGCAAAACTGTTGTAAAAAAACCTCGAAATTAGTGTTGCGCTAAATGTAACTCTATAGTTTAAACACTAATCTGTGTTTTTCTAGACGTTAAAAATGTTTTGATTTTTGTAAGTATATTTATGCGTGATTTATTTCGCCCATTTAGGTCATCACGTACTATGTATATAACCGGGCGCAATTAAATAATTCAAATAAAGAATGCTATTTATATCATATACTAAATTACACATTGTCATTTAGATTCATATACTAAATTACACATGTATATTATATTGGCTTACAAGAAATAACGGAACGATATCACAATAAAATAATAAAAGCTGAAATATAAATTTTATTTTAATTCCGAGTCAATGCATTGTTATAGTATTTCTTTAAGTATATAAACTCAGTTTAAACTCAAACTTAATTCAGTGAATATTAAATTAAAAACAAGTCTTATAACATTTATATGCAAAAGCGATTAAAACTTTGAAAAATAGATACCACCGTCAGAGAAGAACCGTATGTCAACATTTTGTGTTTTTTTTTTTTGTCTATTATCAATAAATATTCAGGTGTGTGTTCCATAAGTATACCACAACAATAAAATTTTAGGAAATATTTAAATAATCAGTCGAATTTGCTGGAAGAAAAACTTCGCAAATTAAAATTTGAAACTTGATTTTCTTGGAAACACAAAATAAAAGACATAGGGCCTCGGCTGACGATATAACAAAAATAAACAAGAAATAAAATACTTTTTCGTTTCACAAACATATTGCCAAATTTAATCTTAAACTTTCCAACAGATTTTCTATAGAAAATCTGTCGGAAAAATCTTGGTTGAAAAAGTTGGAAAAAGTTATATTGAAATTACTTTGGCTTTGTAGGTAGAGGCGATTTTTATTCAATGAATAAAATGTGGGGCAAGAATAATGAAAATATTTTTTCAAATATTTTCATTAATCTTGTATTCTAATTTACAAACCAATTCTTGTTTTAAAAATTGTTAGAAATCGAAACTAAATAAAAATTGAAATAAAAAAAAAATAAACATGCGGTGTTTTTATTCGGTATTAGAGTTTGTTCAAAAATAGGTAAATCGGCAGTAATTTTTCATACTTATTTTTTTCATAACATTTTTTTTTTTTTTTTTATTTTGTAGAAATTTGCCATTTTTTTCGCCATTTACAACATTTTCTTCTCTCCTATATCGACAATACCTAAATTGTAGAGCAAAATTAATTATTAAGTTGTGATGTTTCAAAAATATTATTTTTAACGGTAAAATTTCACATCTTTTCTGCCATTATGGATACCTTGTTTTGTTTTTTTTATTTTTTTTTAAGCTACTTACTTCACTTAGTGTATTTGAGAGTTTTTATCAACTAAAAATATTTACAATAAAGTATTCAAGAAAATACCTTTTTTTATCTCTTACCACCTTTAAGGAAATGATATGAAAAACTTTTAGCCTTTCAAATAATTATAGAAATAATTATACAATAAAGTGCATATTGCTAACGTCATATATTTACGTAATTATTGCGTAACTAGGATTATAAGTGAACTTAATATTGGCGATTGATAGACAATGTTTGTTATTCGAGTGACGCAAAATGTATAATTGTATGCATGCATATATATTTATAAATAAATATGTGATATGTATATATTTTATGGCATGTATGTATTGTATGAATATAAATGTGTAAATAAATTTATTATTTTTACCATAACAATTAATACTTTATTTTTTCTGGTATCTTAAGTTTAGCCGCTTTTTTTTCAGAACATTCACTGTTTGAATTTTCCATAAATTACATTTTTTGAATTTATTACAATTTTATTAATGCAATAATAAATTTTATACTATACTTATATAAAAATAATTTTATATAATACTTACACAGTATGTATGCAATAATTAGTTAAATAAAAATAGGAAAGGGTAAAACTATTTTATCTACTCGTAAAACTTTTATTTTTGTGGTTATAAAATCAAAATCAAAACCTCTGAGGTTACCCGCAATCATTATTATTGTTATATTTTTTTTTAAAGCAAAAAATACAATTGGATTAATAGTATACTAACAATCAATAGATTCATAAATGTAAAAGAGGCTAATGTTTTATTGACTTAATTTAATTGATTTAAATAAGAAATTCTCATTATAAAAATTTATCTGTTAAATCGATGACATCTTAAACTTTTATTTTAGACGGATGTTGAACTTATATAATATAACATGATTACTTCAAAAAAGAATATTTCGTTACTTTAATATGGCGAACATTGACAATAGTGAAATACACGATTCTAAAGTTATAATTGCAATTAAATCATTATATTTGTTTATTTGCTTTTTCTTGGGTGTCTGTGGAAATTCAATCGTAATCATTGCAATAATAAAGAATAAAAAATTGCAGACAATAACCAATTGCTTTGTTCTAAATCTTGCAATAACTGATCTTTTGTTTGCCGTGTGTGAAATACCGACTATTATATTTACCACAATTTCGAAAAAGTGGCTGCTTGGTCGATTTGTTTGTGATGGAGTTGGTTTCTTGAACTCTCTTTTTTGTACCACTTCAATATGGACTCTTGTTATGATTAGTATAAATAGATACTTTAATGTAGCTAAAGCCACCCAAGTAAAAAGTCTTTATACAAAGAAAAGAACAATTTTAATTATCATTGGCGTTTGGATGTTTTCCGCCATAATTTCATTTCCACCTTTGGTTGGTTGGAGCGAATTCAAATCAGGTTCTAATTTCTGTACAATCAATGGTAAAAAATCTTTATCATATTCAATTTTTATTGCTTTGATCGCCTACATTTTACCTTCGTTGTTTTTATCTACTTTATATTTGCGCATATTTTTTATGTTATATAGACATGAAAAAACCAAAATGAGGGGGAAAATTAACACAGTTGAATTTTCTGAGCCAATCGATGCAGCATTATTGTCATTTGATAATGAATCTGCTTCATCAGTCCACTATCAAACTGTAAACGGAAAAATAACATCATATGACAAAAAAGTGCTAAATTATTATTGCAAATACAAGAAAGATGTTGCTATAAGCAACAATATTGAAAATCTTTCTGTAAATAGAAATACAACAAACCCAGAAATTTTAAATGCAAGAGAAAACAATAAAAAAAGGGCTATTAAAAAATATTTCAAAGAAGTTCGTGTTACAAAAATGTTAATGATTCTTGTATTATGTTTCTTTTTTTGTTGGACCCCTGTTTTTGTTGGATCAATGCTTTATTCGTTTAATTTAGACCTTAAAGGTTTTCAAGTTGCAACTTTTGGAATAATGTGTGCTTGTCTAAACTGTGTATTAAATCCTTTAATTTATTCTATTATGAATCGCAGCTTTCAAAAGTGTGTCATACAAATGTGGAAAACTATTGCTTTGCGTTAGCTGTTCATGCAAAAGCATCATTTTTTTTTTGCTGTTAAAATTTTCTTAATAAAAAATACCATAAATGTAATACGTAAACTGAAGTTTTAGATTTTTATATATGATAATTTTTTTTCATATTTTATGTTACTTTAAGATAAATATTTAACAAAAGAAACTTTTGAAACCTTTTTTTTTAAATTGATTGTTACCATCGAACCAATTATTAGAGTTATAGCTACACAGTATTTTTTTTTTAATGTAAAAAATGTAAAATAGAAAAGCAACATATATTTACTGTTATATGTTGTATGTTAATGTTTTTAAATTTTAGAATAAAGTCATAAAATGATATGGCACAGAATGAGTCATAATATCAATCTGAGTTTTTATTGTTCCAGATAAGATGGTTTTGTTTGCATATTCTCGTGTCAAATAAATTTTCTTTTATAAATATTTTGATTTATTTTACACAATTGGGTTGCTAAAGGAGTGATAATGTAAAATAGATTCTCAAGGAAGTATATCAAAGCAATTAAAAATACAAAGATTTGCTGAGAAAACTGCTTTACTTTTGAAAGACTTAACAAATTGCAAAAGTTGTTAAGTCAAGCTATTAAATTACTTTAGTTAGTTTTAATTAAATAAATTTAATTATGTTGAGAACAATTAGAAGGTTGTGTTATGGCTTTAGTTTAGTTGCTAGAAAACTAGATAAAAATCCTCCATTAACTCCAGCACAGCTACAAGTTAAGATTAAATTTTGTAGGAGTTTAAAAGACAAGTCACTGGAATAACGGGAACGAGAAATGTTTACAGAAAAAAGCAAGTTTTAACAAATTCGAGGACTTTAAATATGTTAGAAGACCTGTGGGAAAGCGTCTGAATCCTAAGTATACCATAAAAATAGTCAAAAAAAAGTCCTTTAGATTACTATAGGAAGCAATCACAACACAAAGTTGATAAAGATTGCACTTCCTAAAAAATGGTGAGTGCGCAAAAGTACCTATGTGTTTTAAAAGATAAATAAACTTTATATATAAAATTACTAAAACCTGCATATTTCAGCAACATTCAGCACTATTTCAAACAGTTAAAATAGTTAAGTAGTGTGTAGTGTTTTACTGATGACAATATTGAGTTATTATTCAATTGCCCCTCAAGTTCTCCTGATCTTAATGTTATCGAAAATCTGCCAAAATCTGAAGAACATCTCTAAAAAGATCTAAAAGAAGTGTGGATTAGTGAAATCACTCTAGAATTTTGTAAAACATTAATGTATAGTATGAAAAACGAAACAAATCCATATTTAAATATTTTATCATATCTTGTTTTTGCTAATTCCTTGGCAACATTCTTACGTCATAAACATAGCATACATTGACAAGGGACATGGTTCACAGAATATAGAAAAATTTTTTATAAATACTTTGTCAGAGATTTTTTTATGAGGGGGTAAAATTGGAATAAATCTGTATTTGCAACAAAAAAGGGAATAGTCTCGTTTTGTATCATTTTATCAGCAAAATTGGTAACAAGGTATTATCATTATACAAAATGAACTATTATAATGATTATTAAAACACATTAATTATAAAAAAAAACAAGTTATAATTAAACATGAACTTTAAGTGAAACAATATGTACTTTTAGTGAAACAAAAATTCATTAAATTCATCATTAATATCACCATGTCTTTAACTTCATTTCATTGCAGTATACTTTTGACTATAATAACTGCTTATTGCTGTTGCGCCAAGCCCACATCAATAAATTAAACTTTTGTAAAACAAATGCCAAGTCATCTTTGATACAGCAGTTGAAGTTATTTTCATGGTTATCTGTATCAATAATTGACATGATCAATAAATGACATTGACATGAGTATCTCTGATAGCAATAAAGAGGTCTTATCAATTGAATTAATTATTAAAAAAGTTAAAAATATTATAATTAGTTGTTGTTATCGCCCACCATCTGGTGTAATTGAAAGTTTTAGTTCATATTTACATTATGATAAAATTATAAAAAACCAATCATGAATAGGAATTTAACTACTTAATAGGTGATTTAAATTTATATCGCTTCGAATATCACGTAAAACCCAACATTAAAAGTTTTTATAATGACATTTTTGAAAATGATGCGGTTCTACTAATCACCGAAACCGACCAGAATAACTCAATCAACATCTTCCCTGCTTGATAATATAATAACAACTGATTTATTTAACGAATCTCTTAAAAAAGACTTAATTAAAAGTGACATTTCTAATCACTTCCCTGCTTACTTTTCCATTAATACTAAAATGGAAACGTCACCAAATACAAATCAAATTTTTGTTAAACGTAATTTTAATGAAAAGAATTAGGAAACATTTAAAGAGCAATTTCCTCTTTTTCATTGGGGGCACATTTCTAATTTAGATGATGCTAACCTGGTTTACAACAAATTTTTTAAAACTTTTTTTGATATATATGATGTTAATTTTCCAAGAATCAAAATACATTGTAAATTAAAAAGTATAAAATCCTCATGGATTACTAAAGGGTTAAGAAAATCATGAAAAATCAAACAAAAATTGTACATTAAACTCCTAAAACTAAAAACAGATAAAAGTAAAGCTATATATAAAAGTTACGCCAAACAATTCGAAAGTCAAAGAAAAAATTTTAAAAAAAAATTATTACAATGATTTACTAGAGAAATATAAGTTAAATTCTAAGCGCACATGAGAAGTTATAAAGGAAATCACAAGCAGTTTTAAAATGAACACACTCACATTGCCTAAAACCATCAAATCAAATGATAAATTTTTGTATGATAAAGAAGAGATAGCTAACGAGCTGAATAAATATTTTGTTTCTGTTGCGCCAAATTTATCCCAAAAAATTTCTCAAGCAATTAATCCAATAAGTAATCTATTTATCCCTAATACATCACAATTTAATTCGCTTGAACTAACTTTTGAAGAGTTTGAATGCGCTTTTAAAATGCGAAAACCTAACATATCAGCAGGTGCGGATGATATCAATATAAATATTGTTATTAAATCATATGAAATCATAAAAGATGTACTTTTTAAGATTTTTTCTCGTTCTATTAGGCAAGGAATTTTTCCTAACCAAATAAAAATAGCAAAGGTGATTCCGATATTTAAGGGAGGTGATTTACCTGTTAGCAACTATCGTCCCATTTCTATTTTATCTGCATTTTCAAAAGTCTAGAAGAGAACTTTATACAACAGAATTTATAATCATTTATCTGTAAACAAAATAATATATAGCAATCAATATGGATTCAAAAAAAAATAACTCGACAGAACTCGCAGTTCTCCAGTTTACGAGAAGTATCACTAACTCTTTTGAAAACTCCCAATATACAGTTAGGGTTTTTTTCGACTTAGCTAAAGCTTTCGATACAATAGACCACAATATTCTTTTAAATAAACTAAAGATTTACGGTGTAAACGGGAATGTTTTAAATTAGTTAAAAAGCTATTTAAATAATCGAAAGCAAATTGTATACGTTCATGTAGTTTCACCAGTAAACTTGCTTGATATAATCTGTAGAGTTCTTCAGGGATCAAAATTAGGGCCTCTTCTTTTTCTTATTTACATTAACGATCTCCATAAAGCCACAATTTTAATGATGATTATGTTTGCAGATAACACAAACTTATTTTTATTTCATAATGATATTACATTGTTATTTCAGAATATCAATAATGAACTAGTAAGAGTTTCTGATTGGTTTAAGACAAATAAACTGTCTCTTAATACTGATAAAACGAAATGGATTTTTTTCCATCCAAATCACAAAAAAAATCTTATACCAAATGAGATGCCACTGCTTTTTATTGATAATATACTTCTAAAAAAAGTAACAGTTACAAACTTTCTTGGTATTTATATTTATGAAGTTTTTTCTTGGAAAAATCACATAAAAAATTTGAGTAGTAAAATATAAAAAAGCAGAGGAATTTTGTACAAAACAAGGAGTTGTTTAAATAAACATACATTACTTAAACTACATTATTCTCTCATTCATTGTCACATAAATTATGCGAACATTGCGTGGGGTAGTACTTATAAAAGTAAACTGGAACCTCTTTATCGTCAACAGAAACATGATGTACGCCTTATTAATTTTAAGGAGCGATTTACTCATGCCAAGCCTCTATTAAATGAAATGAGAGTTTAAATATATACGAGCTTTATACTTTTTAACGTTATATGCTTTATGTTTAAATGTAAAAACAACATTTTACGAAATGATAATGACATTCGTCAATCAGCTTATCAAACTAATTCTAGAAAACACTGTATTTCATTTCGAGGAGCATTACTTTGGAATAATATTGTTTTAAAGAATTTTGACTTTTTTCAAGAAGTTAGCTTTCACTTTTTCAATCAAAAACTTAAAAAAGTCATTTTTTTATAAGATGATATATCTACCCAGCAAACATGTAAGCGTTGAACCAACGTTGAAAACCTGTCGCAGCGTAGGAAAAGCGTTACAGTCACAAAAACAGCGTGGTTGCAACGTTGAATCAATGTCTTTTTTTGTGTCTAAATCGCGGTAAATTAAAACGTTGAATAGGCGTCGAAATTCTTACCGTAATTTAGCCTCTCAAAATAAAACGTTTATTCAACGTGGAATCGACTTACGCAAAAAGCCACTTTAAAAACGTTTTGAAGTATATTCTTTATCAACGTTAAAAACAAACCGTTTTTTAAACGTTACATTTTCAACGTTGAATAAGCGTATAAATTTAAACGTATCTTATCTTCTTAAAAAAATGCGTTTATTAAACGTTGAAAATAATTACGCAAATAATCACTGTAAAAACGTCGCAAAGGTAATGATGGTTTATCAACGTTAGACATTAGCTGCTTTTTCAACGAATTTAAACTATTTGAAAAACAACACTTATTCAACGTTATTTCAACGTTAGTTGAAAATGTGCTAATTAAAAAACGTTGAAAAAGTGTTACTTTGCCAACGTTAATAAAACGTTGTTTGACAATGTTGAGGAAGTGGCACATTGAAAATTATTGTCTCAATAACTAGCCCTTGCAGAAATAGTGTGCCGTAATGGAAAGGCAAGGAAAACTTGATAGAATGCATACATATGGTATAAAATATTTTTTAATAAAGTTATATTTTATAGCCTATTTTATTGTGACTAATTTAAAACTTCTACAATTTATATGAAAATGTATATAAAGTACATAAATCTCAGGTTAAATTTGGTTTATTCAGCTTATTTTTGTCAATGTTTTATTTTGTATATATATTTGTATAAATATATATATATATATATATATATATAATATATATATATATATATATATATATATATATATATATATA